CCTGGCCATTTTTTGGTTGCAGCCATCATTGTTGTTTGGCGGGCCCGGGCTGGGGATTCGAACCCACCACCTTGGGTGTATATGGCTGGCGCCTTAGCCGCTTGAGCCACAGGCGCCGAGCCCAAGTAAGCCATTCTTATTTTTTTATATTAATCTAAAGTGATCATTGTGCATTATTATTATAATTTTTTTATTTTTGAGAAAGAGTCTCACTGTCACCCTCAGTAGAATTCCATGGCATGACAGCTCATGGCAACCTTTAACTCTTGAGCTTAAGCAATTCTCTTGCCTCAGCCTCCCAAGCAGCTGGGACTACAGGCACCTGCTACAACACCTGGCTATTTTTTTTGTTGCAGTTGTCATTGTTGGTTAGCTAGCCTGGGCTGGGTTAGAACCTGCCAACTTTTCGTGTATGTGGCTGGCGCCGTAACCACTGTGCTACGGGTGCAGAGCCTCATGTACCTTTTTTTAAAGAGACAGAGTCTCACTTTATAGCCCTCAGTAGTGTGCCATGGCATCACAGGTCACAGCACCTTCCAACTCCTGGGCTTAGGCAATTCTCTTGCCTCAGCCTCCCGAGGACGCCTGGCTATTTTTTGTTGCAGTTTGGCCAGGGCTGGGTTCAAACCCACCACCCTCGGTATATGGGGCTGGCGCCCTTCCCACTGAGCCACAGGTGCAGCCCCCTTGTACCTCTTTTGATGTAAAATTTGTCACTTGGCCTGAAGTGGTATTACACTGAATTCCATGTCACTATATCAGACGCTATTTGAGTCATCACATAATGGTGCTGGCTGAGGCAGGAGGAAAGTCTAATCATGCTGCCGAAATGTGTCCATCCTGGTCAACATGAGTCATGGCCCTTTCTAGGCCATAAGGGCTTCGATGTATAAACATTTCATGAAACAGCTGCTTTATTTCCTGGAGGACTGGTGTCATATTAAGGGCTCAACTTTGGTCTGTGCTGCTGTGCATTTATTTTTTATTTTTGAACCATGATCTTTCTTTCTTGCCCAGGCTAGAGTACAGTGGCCCAATCATAACTCACCGCAACCTTGAACTCTCAGGCTCAAGCAATCCTTCAGCCTCAACCACCCCAGTGGTTGGGATTACAGGTGTGCACCACCAAGTCTGGCTAATTTAAAAAAATTTCTTATTAGAGCTGGGGGTCTCACTATGTTACCCAGGTTGGTCTTAAATTCCGGGCCTTAAGCAATTCTCCCACCATTGCCTCCCAAGTGCTAGGATCATGGGCAAGAACAACTGGGCCCAGCCATCTAGATATTAATAATGTCCAGTTACCTTTTGGCTTTGCTAAGATTAATGATAAAATAATTAATGTGTGAACCCCATAAATGCATCAATGTACAAAGTTATGATTTCATAAAAAATAATTTTAAAATATTAATGTGTGTTGGACATTCACTTCATTTCCACAATTAGCTAAAAGGCAAAGGGTAACTTCTATCCCCCTTTTAGATCTCATATTAGCAAAACTGGAAACATGAGATCATATGAACCCAAAAAGTTTCTGTACAGAAAGGAAACAATCGACAAAACAAGAGATAATCCATGAAATGGGAGAACATATTTGCAAATGATCTATCTGACAAGAGACTAATAACTAGAAAATATAAGGTGCTCCACTGGCTCAATAGGAAAAAAAGTCTGATTTTGAAATGGGCGAAGGATCTGAATGGGCATTTCTTGAAAAATGACAGACAAAGAGCCAACAGTTATATGGAGAAAGGCTCACCATCATTAGTGATCCGAGAAATGTGAATCAAAACTACAACGAGATGTCACCTCACCCTGGTTAAAATGCTTTTTGTCAAAAAGACAGGTTATGATGATTGTAGGTGAGGACATGGAGAAAGAGGAGCCCCGTACGCTATTGGTGGGAATGTAAATTAATACAGCTTCTGTGGAAAACAGGATGGAGGGTCCTCAGAAAACTGAAAATAGAACTACCAACTGACCCAGAAGTCTCACTTCTGGGTATATATCTAAAGGAGGGAACTCAGTATATTGAAAAGATTCCTGCATTACCGTATTTATTGTAGTACTGTTCACAACAGCCAAGGTTTGAAATTGACCTAAGTGTCCATCAGTGGATGAATGGATAAAGAAATTGTGGTACATATACATATATATATTCAGATACAATGGAGTATCCTAATAACTTAGGGTATGCTTTAAAATAACTGGAAGGGTGGAAGTGGGATGTATCTAACACACACAAAAAGTGATAAATGCCAGAGGGGATGGATACCCTACTTACCTGATTTGATTCATTCACATTGTATACCTGTATCAAAACATCACATGTACCCTATAAAGACACACAACTGTTATGTATCCATAATAACTAAACATGAAAAAGAAAAAGAAAAAAAGGCTTTATTTGAAAGGACCATTCTTCCTAGAATCCTTCATTTACTCTTACTAGTTGGAGTCAGTAGACCATCTGTTGGGTCTCTATAGTACTTTATTCTCCCCCTCTGTAACCCTTGTCATATTGCATTGAACTTACTCAATTTTCTGTTTTTCCTGCCAGATTCTGAATCTCATAAAAGCAGGAACAGTGTCTGACTTATGCTACAGTACCTAGCAGTGAGTGTGCTGTCCTGCACACAGGAATCCCAAACACAGTAATTCAATGAAAGTTCTCATTCAAGCCTTCCATTCCTCTTGTGAATCACATAGAAACAAGACATGCCCAAGGCCACAGAAGTTCATTAGAGAGACGAAATAGCAATTCATTAGAGAGATGAAACAGCGCCTACTAGATTGCATCGATAAAGGTCCCATAAATTCAGACTCTGAGGCAAGTGATAACGGCTGGGCAAGGAACAGGAACTTCCTGAACTGGGTCTTCAGCACCATGGATCAGTGGATTCAAAACAGGGGTGTTGCCAAAGAGAAGTTTGGGTCTGCCAAAAATGTGTGTTATCAGCTAGGATAGACTAAACTGCTTAAACAGAAAGGCTCCATCATATCATCCTAAAATGTGACGAAGTTTTTACTTCTTGTTCATGTAATAATTCAGTGGGTGACTCTTCTTTCACATGATGAGTCAAAGACCCAGGCTCCTTCTGTCTGGTGGTGTCACCATGCTCTAGAGCAGTGGTTCTCAATCTGTGGGTCGTGACCCCTTTGGGGGTCAAACAACCCTTTCACAGGGGTCACCTAAATACATCCTGCATATCAGATAATTACCTTATGATTCATAACAGTAGCAAAATTACAGTTATGAAGGAGCAATGAAAATAATTGTATGGTTGGAGGTCACCACAACATGAGGAACTGTATTAGGAAGGTTGAGAACCACTGCTCTAGAGCCTTGTGGTCATCAAGACTGAGCTGGTGGAGAGGAAAGAGAGTGTGACATCGACTTGCTATCTTCTTAAGGGCTTGAGCCAGAATGACAATTAACTTTTGCCTTCAATCTATTAGTCAAAATATTTACATTGCCACCCTAGCTTCAGAGGGAATTGGGAAAATGGAGCTCTTAGTTGAGCTTCTGTTTCCCATTCATGCCCTTCTTCCATAGGGTCAGTGTCACAGTGTCCACGCTCCATATTGTTATCCTTTACAAGTGACTAAAAGGAAAGACCGGATTTGGGAAAGGTACAGAAGCACTCTATAAACTAAAAGTATGAGTATCAGAGATTTTGAACATAAATTACCCCTGAATACTGAAGGAGACATTATGAGGAGTTCAGAATATCAGAGGAGGATGGAATCTTGACCACCATCTTCTTTCCAGCTTATTGAGAATCCAGCACCCTTGCTTCACCCCCTCTTTCTCCTGTTAGGGTAGATTAACATCTTCACTTCTGAGCGTCCATTTCTTTTGTAATGTTCAAGGTCTACTTCTGTCTTCAGCCCTTGGCTAATCATTCCTTCCCGTTGTCTGAGCTCTAAGACATTGATCATGTACTCCCATTAGCCCTTTTTCCCATGCCCTTCTCTAGTATATAAATTATACCTAATATGGTATACATTTATATCCTAAAATGGATATACATTTATATCTACCTATCTTAACATTTTTAAATTCCACAAAGAGGCCATGATCTTTCTTGTTAGGCTATAAATTTGTGTTTTCTTTTTTATTTTTTGGGACAGAGTCTCACTATGTCACCCTTGGAAGAGTGCCATGTCATCACAGCTCACAGCAACCTCAAGCTCTTGGGCTTAAGCGATTCTTTTGCCTCAGCCTCCCAAATAGCTGGGTCTACAGGTGCCCACCACAAAGCCCAGCTATTTTTTGGTTGAAGTTGTCATTGTTGTTTAGCAGGCCCGGGCCGGGCTCAAACCCTCTAGCCTCAGGGTATGTGGCTGGCACCCTACTCACTGAGCTATGGGTGCTGAGCTTAAATTTGTGTTTTCAATGTCTGTATTCATAGTCTCCTTTCCTGAAGTCTCTGTGAGTCCTGTGACTTCTTATTCTACAGCTATTTGCATTTATAAATGGGTTTATTCTTTTTTTTTTTTTTTTTGCAGTTTTTGGCTGGGGCTGGGTTTGAACCCGCCACCCTTGGCATATGGGGCTGGCACCCTACTCCTTTGAGCCACAGGTGCTGCCCAATAGCTTTATTCTTTAAAGGAAGAGTGAAAACTGATGGAAATTCCAGAATCACCCAGGGAGACGATTTGGGTAGACGGCCTGTATACTTACCTCTTTTATTATAGTGAGGATCCTATCTCTTTGGGTAAAATCGTTCATGTTGGAATAGAATACAGCACATAGAGGTCTTACCAGAATCAGGGGGATGGATGTTAAAGATAGGAGGAGGCAGATAAGAAAGGAAGGATCACAAAGTGAGTAGGTTGGAGAGCCTGTTGACCAGAAGAAACAATCTCAACTGAAGGATGCGTTAGAGTCATTGACGCTCAACCTTATAAAGTGGGAGAAGAACTCACTTTCTCACCCTATCAACCTGAAACAAGGGTTTCCGTCCTTTCAGAGAGCGGAGCTAGTTACCCCTCAGTGCTTGGACTGGCTGTTTGGAGTTCTGATTTCTACTCCTCACACTGCACCTAATTCATACAGAGCCTGGGGATTCACTGGAATAAGCAGAGAAGTCTCCTGACCCCTCTGGCTGGGTCTGACTACTTGCTGTAAACCAAAAGATAAAAGAGCTGTTCTGGGGCGGTGCCTGTGGCTCAAGGAATAGGACGCTGGCCCCATATACCGGGGGTGGTGGGTTCAAGTCCAGCCCTGGCCAAAACTGCAAAAAAAAAAAAGAGCTGTTCTGAATGTTAGGGCTCATGTGGATGGGAAACAAGGTTGAGGAGAAGACACGAATATTTATTACACTGGGCACCTGCTGTGTCACAGTTGAGGCACCAAAATATATATGTATATATATGGGCATATATGTATATATGGGCAAACTGAGTGTGTAGAGATGACAAGACTCTCCCAGTGTTACAAAACTAGTGACTACTGGAGTCAGGATTTAATTTCACATCTGTCTGAGGACTAAACCTGTGAACATTTTTCTGCTGCTCAAATTAGCCAATAGGGGCTGATTCCTTCACAGTAGATCCCCACTTACAGTCTGGTGCCTTACAGGATTCGGGGAAATAGACACTCATCTTCTGTTCAATCCAATAGTTTATTTGCCAGCCTGAGCCAGAGTGAGACCCCGTCTCTAAAAAAGATAGCCGGGCGCTGTGTCAGCTGACTGTAGTCTCAGCTACTTGGGAGGCTGAGGCAAGAAGATTGCTGTAACCCAGGAGTTTGAGGTTGCTGTGAGCTATGATGCCATAGCACTTTACTGAGGGTGACAAAGTGGGACTCTATCTCAAAAAACACACACACAAACAAAATGCACACACACACACAAAATAGTTTATTTGGTTCAAAAAATTAATTGGTTCTAGGGCCAAGTGTGGTGGCTCACACCTGTAACCCTAACACTCTGGGAGGCCGAGGTGGGTGGATTGTTTGACCTCAGGAGTTTGAGACGAGCCTGAGCCAGAGTGAGACCCTCTTTCTAAAACTAGCTGGGCATTGTGGTGGATGCCTGTAGTGCTAGCTACTTGGGAGACTGAGACAAGAGGATTGCCCAAGAGTTTGAGGTTGCTGTGACCTATGATGCCATGACATTCTACCAAGGGTGACAAAGTGACTCTGTCTCAAAAGAAAAAAAGATTAATTGGTTTTCTCTGAGTTTCTTTTTTTTTCCCCCTCCCTCCATATACAATGTATACAGGATTATTCTTTGATTCACTAATTCAACTTCTGCTACTGAAGCCTAGAGGGATTATGAGCAAAAATGTTCAAAATAGCATTTTTTAAAGTAACACTAGTCTTATTTCTTTTTCTTTTCTTTGTTTCCTTTTTTTCTTTTTGAGACAGAGTCTCACTTTGCCACCCTTGGTAGAGTGCTGTGGTGTCATAGTTCACAGCAACCTCAAAAGCTTGGGCTCAGGTGATTGTCTTGCCTCAGCCTCCCAAGTAGCTGGGACTACAGGCACCTGCAACAATGCCCGGCTATTTTTAGAGATGGGGTCTTGCTTTTGCTCAGGCTGATCTTGAGCTCCTGAGCTCAAGCAATCCACCCGCCTCAGCCTCCCAGAGTGCTGAAATTATAGGCGTGAGCCACCTCACCCGGCCCAAAATAGTATTGTTTAGGATATCAATAATTGTTTCATCCGAAACAGCTGACAAGAGGTACACAGGGAGAGCTGCGTGATTGTGATAAATGACATCGTTTCCTTTTGAGAAACAATGACAATATATGTATTTACATGATGAAATAAGAGCAGCAGAGGATACATAATGAAAGATGGATGATTCAAAATGTAAAAAAACAAAGGATTGTTTATATTATATATGGAGAAACTAAAAGATAATATAATGAAACATAGGTTAATTCTAATCACTTCTCTTTTCAAAAAATCGTATTTTTTCTTTTCTCTTTTCTACAAAACATTGTGTAAGTAGAAGCCAGACATAAGTGATCTCTTTCAGAGAGGAAAAATGCTGTCAACAAGAAGAGAGGGTTGGACAGGTGAGGGGAGGTGTCATTCCTGGAGAAGTCTCAACCCACCTCAAGGCGGACAGGTGAAGGGAGGAAGCAAGGACTGTCTTGCACTGCCCCGGCTTGGCCAGTAGAGGCAGCAAGGAGCTGAGGATCATCCTCCTTCCTTCCTTTCCTCTCTACCCACAGCTCTGCAGGGAAGTCTGTGGTGTCCTGGTCAGACTTAGGGCTCATGCTCTGGTCACCATCATGTCACCCCAGGCCGTGCTGCCCATCCTGTTTCTCTGTGTGCTGCTCCTTCAGGCCCAGGGAGGATACCCTTCCCGGAATAAGATGCGCAACATGCCTGGTACGTGACAGGCTGGCAGGGTGGGGATGAGGGAGTGGGGGAGGAGACCTGGGGAGGAGGAAAGGAGAGGCTTGTGCCCCCTTGAGCAAGAGCTGGGAGTTGGTACCGCTCTGCACATCCAGCACTGCCTATGGCACTGTGCAGACTCAAGGATGTCTCAGGACCTCACGCCCCTTTACCCAGCTCTGGGAATAATAGTAACGCGAGTGAAGGGGACACCTACATCTTTTGTTGTCCACTGGAAACATCCCAGAGACCCATGGTACACGCTGTAGCGAAAGGTGCTCAGGGCTGAGAATGTGATGGGAAAACAAGACAATTCTTCTTCTTTTTATTTTTGGAGACAGAGAGAGTGCTGTGGCATCACAGCTCACAGCAACCTCCAACTCCTGGACTCAAGCGAGTCTCCTGCCTCAGCCTCCCAAGTAGCTGGGACCACAGGCACCCACCACAACGCCTGGCTATTTTAATTTTTGGTTGCAGCCATTATTGTTTGGTGGGCCCGGGCTGGACTCGAAACTGCCACCTTAGGTGTATGTGGCTGGCGCCTTAGCCGCTTGATGCTACAGATGCCGAGCCAAGACAATTATTCTTTAATGGATAGTCATTTGTGAGAAGTGATGCCCAGAGATGGTACCTCTCTGCACATCCAGCACTGCCTACAGCACTGTGCAGACTCCAGGCTGTCTTGGGACCTCACGCCCCTCTACCCAGCTCTGGGAATAATAATAATAGGAGTGAAGGAGACACCTACATCTTTTCTTGTCCACTTGAAACCTCCAGAGACCCGTGGTACACACCCTAGTGAAAGGTGCATCAGGGCTGAGAACAGGATGGGAAAGCAGGACAATTATTCTTTAGTGGATGCTCATTTGTGAGGAGTGACACCCAGAGATGGGCATGGGGTGTGTGGAGGTGTAGAAACGGCACACGGAGCAGGCAAAATGGGGTGTAGAGGGAAAGTTAAAGTTATCAGTAGAAGGGCCAGGAGCATGGTGGTGGTAAGGGTAGGACATGGGGAAACTGGATTTAAGACACTACCAGCCACTAGGATTTGGAGATGAGCAGGAGGTAAAAAGTCCAGAGTGTCATGAGGGGGGCTTTGGTGCTGGGGTCTGAGAGGAGCTCTAAGCTGGAGAAGAGTCGATGGTCCCATTAACCCTTCTTCTGTACCTTTTTAGGAGCCGGTATCTGTGGCCAGTGGCCCAGTGTAGATCAATGCAACCACCACTGTTCATATTTCCAAAAGTGTCCAGCAAATAGCACATGCTGTTCCACTTTCTGTGGGAACATTTGCATGAGCATTCTGTGAATGGAGGAACAGCTGGGCACTGCCTCCTGCCCCCACACCCTTCAGTTAGAGATTGTGCCCACGTCTGAAGCAGGAGGACCTCAAATCACAGGCACTAAGACATCAACAGGAATGCCGCCTCCCCACCGTTTGAACTCCTTGTCCCTGTCAAATAAACCAGAACAAATGCCCAGAGGCTCTGGCTCCTTTATTGCCACTGCTTGTGATCACCGAGAATCCAGTGCGGCCCCCACAGATACCCCGCGCTTCTTGGGCACTGGCCCCGGATCTCTCTCCCTGGTTTTGCTTCTCTACTCTGTCTCTCCTTGGCCCACACAGCCCGGCTGCCTCCAGGAGGCTCAGCCCCCTTGTTGCTCTGCTCTCTGAACCAGGGGCCCCGGGGGAGAAACTGGCCAAGTGCAGCATTCCCAGTGCTAAGGAGAGCACTGCTCACCCTGGAGCCCGGAGGACCTGTTCACAGGAGCTAGGCGGAGGTTGGAACCTGGGTCACAGAGTGGGACTCCCCCAAGGGAGAGACTGCTGTCCTCCCCTTAGGCTTGGTGCACCCTCATGCCGTGACCCCCAATCTCTCTGTGAGGTTCACATTACTATGTCTTTACACTGAGACTAACGAGCCCCAGGGAGGTGGGATGACACGCCCCAGGCCACGAGGGAGTGAGAGGATCTGCCGTGGCTGGAAGAGGGTGTTTCCTTTCAACTTGGTTTTTTCTCACCTCTCTCCATTTACCTGAGACCAGAGGTGCTGACTCCCCAACCTCCTCCTGTCCACTACCCAGCAAAACGACCTCTCCTGGGATGGGACCTGAACTGATGCCAGCACCTTCCCTGAACTGAATGGTCCCTCCCTCTCCCCCAATCACTCTTCTTTATGGACTCAGTCTCTTTAGTTTTTAATAAAAAATTTATTTATCATGTGTACTTAACCATTTATATCTTTATAGGGTACATGTGATATTTTGACACAGGCATACAATGTGAATGAATTAACCAAATTAGGGCAATTGGAGTATCCATAACCTCAGGCATTAAACATTTCATTGTGGCTCGGCGCCTGTGGCTCAACCGGCTAAGGCGCCAGCCACGTACACCTAAGGTGGCGGGTTTGAATCCCCAGCCCGGACCCGCCAAACAACAATGACGGCTGCAACCAAAAAATAGCCGGGCGTTGTGGCGGGCACCTGTG